AGCATGAAATGACACCACAAATAATAATTGAGGTCATTGAACTTTGCCTTAAAATGTAACATGGCGCCCAAAAAAGGAGGTATTGCCCTCTGATGACCTTGATAGTAAAATATTACAATGTCCGAGCCCGGATTTGAAAAAGAAATCGCCATGTCATATCAACTTACTTGCTGTTTCCTGTTTTCACAGTAGATGAATTCTTCATGTCATTTGCCGACCATTTGATAAAAAAAGAGAATTTCAAAATTCTCGGATTCCAGAGGAACCAAGCATCAGACCACACGGAAAACACAGAGGCGACGCCTAATGCCGGGTACACCTGCAAACTTTGATCCTGGATATACTTGTAAGGCTACGTGTTCAAACTTGTGTCCTGTGGAAAGCTGAGATCACTTCGAAGGTCACTTGGCACCCACAATTTTAAACTCCCAAATCCAAATGGACCCAATCAATCCAAAATTCCGAACATGAACGGTAAGGGATAAGCGTCTACGACGCATTGATCGCTCGCCACCTGGTGGCAATCTTGGAAAGTAGGTCAAGGTGAAAGTCGTTTGCCACATTACGGTGACCTTGGAGAGGGTCTAGGTGCAGGGACATTTGCTACCAAGGTCATCGAAGATCAATGACTTCATTTTCAAGACAATCAGATGACAATGAATTTTGTGTTTTCCTAGATCATTTTCAAGGTCATCACAGATCAATAGCCTTATCTTCAATGGTGTTAGCATTTTCAAGGTTATCAAAGTTCAATTATCTCCATTTTTAAGGTCATTAGAGGTTCAGAACCCTAGTTATGGTTTCATTTTCAAGGTTCTATGACCTCAATTTTTTGTAGTCCCCTATTTCATTTCATGTTTTATTTTAAAAGGTATCAAATTTCAATGATCTCATTTTTAAGGTCATTTCATTTTCAAGGGTATCATAGGGCAATGGCGCCCACCACAAATATGGCCCTAGACCTCCAATCACCGCAAAAAATTGACTCAGCATAGAGAAAAATAAGGTCAAGGATGACCTTGAAACTAAGGTTTGGCACCGCAACAAATTGACCTGTGATTACCATGAAAATTTAATATGACACCGTAAAAAACTGGATCATTAATTTTTGATAAACCCGAAAATAACACATGATTTTTGATTACCTTGAAAACACCACAAAAATTGATAACCTTGAACATGGAATGTGACTACAAAACTGGGCCACTTTCCTTCGTTGACTTTGAAAATAAAATATGATACCGCAAATAACGGAAGTCGTTGAACTTTGGATAACCTTGAAAATTAACAGATTGCTTTAAAAATGTAATATGATACCACAACTAATGACCTTGAGAGTGAATCTTGACGCCGAAATAAATAGGGTCATTGACTACTAATTACCTGACACCGCAAAAATAGAAAATAGAAATCGGCACGAGGAAAATGGGATTATCGACCCTGCCTGACCTTGAAATTAAGGCAACATGGCACCATAAAAAAGGTGCCAATCTCTGATGATCTTGAAAAATAAAATCGGACACAAAAATTTGTGGTGATTGAACTTTGATAACCTTGAAATTGAAATATGGGACCACAAAACTGGGGTCATTGTCTTACATTAACCTTGAAAATAAAATATAACACTGCCAATAATGGAAGTTATTGACCACTGATAACCTTGAAAATAGCTAGGATCAGGCAAAAGTAGGACCAGTGACCTTTGCTCTTCTTAAAATATAATATGGAACCACCAAAAAAGGAAGTATTGTCCTTTAATGACCTTGAAAGTTGACACCGCAAAGAAATGAAGGTAATTGATCTTGCAAATGAAATATGGCACCATAAAAAATAGAGCCATTGACCATGAAAATGAAATAAGATTATGGCAAAAATGCGGTCATTGAACCTGGATGACCTTGAAAATAAAAATATCACATTACAAAAATGGGGTCATTGATCTTTAATGACCTTGAGAGTAACATGTGTGTTGGTCGGTGGAGAATGAACCACATTTGCGATCGCTAAATGGCGAGCTGAGAAAGCCTGATCTCCTCCTAAGGCTAGCGAGGTCGTCATTAGCAATGTGGCTGTAGTCTCCCCGGTCGCTGGATGCCGCGTATCAGGATAAAGTATCCAACTACTCGGAGGCTCCCACTCGCCCCGCTGTGGAACGTTTAGATCAGAAATCTAACGTTCACTGCCTTAGTAATGGACGCGAGGGGCACGTGGCGCCTCCAGAATTTGCTTCGGTTGAGTAACTCCGAGAGAACGTCTCTAGTATGCATTATCGAGTAGTGATCGGTTATTTTTTGGAATGTATGTACATAAAGAATATTGTTAGACATAATTTTAATATTCCTAAAGGAATCGACCACCCATGAAAGTTATTTGCCTTGAACAAAGTTTGTATTGTATTTATTGATATTAATAACATCCATACAAAGAATGTTGGTTATTTTGTTTCACTGTTACTGGTGGATTATTCGGAATCGCGAATGCGATCACCGAATGTTAAAATATGGCCGGGGTGGATAACCCTTCTTCGAATAAGTGAATGAGAAGGATGAACTTAAAACGACCGGTGTGGTGGAATGAATGCAATGGTAAATCCAAGCGAAAGTTAGAGGTCAGAGACCAAATACAAGAGGGAATGAGCGAATTTACCCGAAAAAACACTACAACTCTTTGTGAGGCTGGGGAAACGGGTGGATAACAAGTCTATGTAGTACATCAAAACTACTGACGGGACATCCTGTATATGGTAATTAATTCAATTTATGAAGTAAATCTGGGGATCATTTACGACATAAGAAAAGAATTGGTTAGTTTAATTTGAATTTGTATTCAGTGCTTATTATTCCTTAAAGTTTTTTTTAAATATTATCGCTTTGTAATTATTCAATTTAGATAAGGTGCTAGAAGTAAGAGACATCTGGTCAAATTTGTGTGATTTATAAAAGGTTACATCTGGTCGTTTGTGATAAGAAGTTTTATTGTTAGACGAAATCTAATTAACGCAGGTGTTCTGGTGCTGATAACGAAGACGCTGGTGTTTCGAAGAATTGCGCGTTTCACGTTGGATAAGTGGGGACGTTTGGCGCGTTCCATTGGCTCGTGTGGCGCAGTTCAGTTGAAGCTGGACTGTGGTGCTAAGGGTCCCTGGTTCGAATCCGGGTTCGGGCACGGGTATTTGTAAATGTATAGTGGATTGGGTTGGTAGAACAACCTTGGCTGAAACCCCGCCCACTCAAAAATAAAGGCAAATAAAATTTTAAAAAAATTAGCGATTTATTTGAAAATACTTAAAGGAGTTTATTTTATGGTGGAAGTGGTGTTGCTTTAAATACTGAAGACAACAACAAGACAACTGCTAGTTTCGCGACGGTTGAAGAGCTAGTACGTTTGCTTACGCTAAATTTTCGGGCAGTCAGCCTTGTTTGTTTTTTTGAACACGCAGTTTCGTCCTTTTTTATAATTAATTTCCTTTTAATGCGTTCTCACCTATTATTTTTTAAGTTGTCTCGCTAAGTTGATGGACGGCGCACCAAACATTTAGATATTACTAACCCTAACGGGAACCAAAGTCATTTCTCGCATCTGATAACTTGTAAGAAAATTCCGAACACGTAGACCAATAGGATTGAGATATGTTGATACAGGAGACACGTCCACACGCATAAACCACTACAATTGGTACTTTAAAGTACATTTAAACTCGCCAAATATATTTTAAGAAATTGTCTGCATGACCACTGCCATTTTTGGTCATCATATAGTGGCTCGCGCACCGAACGTGTAACAACAAACTCGCCCAATTTCAAATTTAAAAAGTTGTACGAGTATCTGTTATGCAGAAATATGTTCAAATTGATTGTTTAAATATAAAAGGACAATAGGTCTACAGTTTCTTCCCATTTATTCTTTATTTTCTTTATTAGCGTGGTACTGGTTAATTATCTCCACAAATTCCGTGCACATCCCTTTCAAATAAGTGTATCGATTTTCCTTATACCTACTAACCGTCGATACGCGAATTTTCCATGGCTTATGAAGGCTGCCGGCTACAATTCAAAGCAAACATTGTTTTGTAATAAATATTTCGACAAAGAGACGCTCCGGGCCTCGCATTCGATGTGTAATAAGGCGGACTTTTTCGCATAGGTGTTCCAAATTGAAATATATGCGAGAGAAAAGCTTCACATAATAAGAATGTAAAGAGCTCAATCAGGCGCGATCTTACGCTCGAGAATGGAAATGTGAGGTTATGCGAAAAAAACGAGGCAGAGAGAGAGGAACACGTTTCCATTTTATATCGAGAGGTTGACCGCCGAAAGTAAATTTGTATTTGATTGTGATCGTAAATGACGACCTTTGAAGAATGAACTTCCATCTCGTATTAAAGATTATACACTCGATAGAGCGGACGAAATGGATTTTTCAATCCGAAGTTATTTATTTCCCCAATAAGAAATATAGAAAGATGAAAGGGGAATTAATTTTCGTGTTTACTTTTTTCCCCCACCCCAAAGCCGTAATATATCGGTATAGTGCTCAGTAGGCCATGAATAAATTAATTAACTACCGGTAATGAATCTGCAGTGTTGTAACGCAACGGTCGCCATTAAAATTAAACGAGTAATTTATGGGCACAATTTATACTTAGAAATAATATTCAGTGCAGGGGGTCTGTTTGTTTGGCGCGGAACGGGGGGGCGGCTCGAAACTAATAAACAAAAAACAGCGCCGTCATATAAAACAGGAACGATAAGGTGGAAGTGGGACGTCAATCAATATCCAGAGCAAGATTCGCACACCGGTCAGGTTATATGCGCCCTTTTTTTTTATTATCAATAAAGCGGGATCATGCAGTTATAAGCGCGCGCGATGCAGGCATCCCACGGTTTGATTTACGACGGGGAGATAATAATAAATGGCAGCTACTTAGAGAAGTCTTCCCTTTAAATGCCGCATAACCGGACGCGTGTCACGAATACGTTTCGGACAAAAGAACAACTCACTCTCTTTCTGGATCGTGCTCGGGATGCTCGCTCGGATCCTTCAGTCGCAAATTTCGCCTGATATCGCTCGTGTCGTTCGCCCTCCTTATGTGCGAAAGGGAACCAGGTAGCAACATCGCAATCTCTGCAAATAAAAAAGAAACGCATGTGAATCAATCAATCAATCGAACGGCGGCGGATCATGAATATTAAACATGGCGACCGCGACGGTGGCGTCACCTCATTCATTATTCATATCGTTCCTCTTAATGTTTATTTTTATTTCCGCGTATAGTTTAGGTTCTCCCCTCCCTAACGAAACATGAGATTTTCACCGTGGAAGCTCGAGATTAAAATTATGAAAATCAAGACCGGGAACAATGCAAATTTCGACGTAAATGGGCCGCGAATTAGAGTAATACCTTTATTCAATACAAAAGCAAAGAGCGTAATTAAAAGGGATTCGGAACGCTATTGTTTTATCTGCGATCTTCATGTACTCGTGCAATGTAACAAATAACAATAGATCCGCGAAGTTGGTACAGGCAACTGTCAGTCTCGCATATTTCTGGAAAGCACTAACGAAAGGTCAAACAGTCAAAAATAACGTAGTCTTAAAAATCACACTTTTATAGGGACAAGGAGAAGCGCAAATCACTGGGAGATTGAGAAGGGATTTTATTTCAAAGGATGGGGACATCTAACGGAGGAATTTTACAACACATGCTACAGGATGTTTACAAATAAAATTGTAACTTTTATATTTTCTCTCGCGATGGAGCCCTAGAAGGAGTCGGGACCATCTAGCAGCGAAACCTTTAAACTGACATATCTCGAGAACGGAGCGTCGTAGATACTGGTGGTGGTTGTGAAATTTCAGAAAAGCGGTCGAGACATAGAATGGGTCGGGACCGACGGCGGTTTCAACCTAACCTAACCGGTGGTGTAATGGAGTTTTGGAAGGAGGTTGTAAACCAAAAAAGAATCCAGAATCCAAAATTTTGTCGAGATCGGATGGTAAATAAGCGAGATATCGCGTTTTAAAGTTTTACCACTAGCGCCACCTAGCGGCGAAACCTTTAAACCGAGATATCTTGACAACGGAGCGGCGCAGATACCGGTGGTGGTTGTGAAATTACGGAAGGGCGGTGGAGACCCAGAATGGGTTGCGGGAGACGGCGGTCTCGACCTGACCTAACCGGTGATGACATTTTGGAAGGGCGGCGGAGACTAAAAGAGGACCCAGAATCCAAAATTTTGTCGAGATCGGACAGTTAATAAGCGAGATATCGCGTTTTGAAGTTTTGCCACTAGCGCCACCTAGCGGCGAAACCTTTAAACCGAGATATCTTGAAAACGGAGAGTCCTAGACATGTGTTCATGGATGTCGTGGGAAAGGTCTCAACCTAACCTAACCGGTGTTGGTAGTCGAATTTCGGAAAGATAGTTGAGACGTAGAAGTAGTTCTGAGAATCCAGGATTTTGGAAGTTTCAAAATTTTCAAAACTTGTAGGCATTTTGAATTTTTTTAATGTAACCAAAATCATTTCGACAATTTACGTTTAACTTTAAAAAAATGTTGGAAATTCATACAGGGTAGTTCAAATTCGGAGCTCTCCATTGGGATCTTTGTTACTTATTTATTTATTTATTATCCCTCTCTTGTTCTGGGCCCTCAACAGGCTTGCGCCCAATTACAGAGTGACCCGCATAATGCTTTTTAGAGGTGCCTCCTCCCCCGTTACGGTGAGAGATGCAGTGTAGGTTAAATGGAACGAACGGAAAATGTCAAATGTCGTTTTTATTTTCTCTAGCATAAACTGTCGGAACTGGACGGTTTCCGTTAGCACCTTCTATGTGCACTTTTTTTCCATGTCACGCTAGATGCAGTTACTACTTTTTTATGGACGCCATATTGGATTTTTGCGGAATGGTACAGAGGACAAAAATACCTATTATGCACTTTTACATGAATTTATACGAAAAATGCAAAAACGGAGGAATTTCACAACGCATACTACAGGATGTTTACAAATAAAATTTTAACGTTGCCACTTTTATACGGTAGAGAGCTAGAAGGGGCCGGGGCCACCTGGCGGCGAAAACTTAAAACCGACATATCTCGAGAACCGAGAGTCGTAGATATGTATTCATAGACGGTCTCGACCTAACCGAACTGGAGGTAGTCGAATTTTTGTGGTGCGGGGGACCGGCGAACTCCTGAGGATCCAGGATCCAAAATTTGGTCGAGATCGGACAGTTAATAAACGAGATATGTTAAAGTTTGACCACCAGCGCCACCTAGCGGCGAAACCTTTAAACCGAGATATTTCGAGAACGGAGCGTCGTAGACATGTGTTCATGGGTGCCATAGGAAAGGTCTCAACCTAACCTGACCGGTGTTTGTAGTTGACTCCGAAAATCCAGGATTTTGGAAGTTTCAACATTTTCAAAACTTGTAGGCATGTAACCAGAATAATTTCGACATTTTACGTTTAAATTTAAAAAAGTCGGAAATGTGTACAGGGTGGTTCAAATTCGTGGGATCTTCGCTGCGATGGGAGGCAGTGCAGGCTAAATGGTGCCCCTTTTTGTGAGAAGAAAATGCATTTGAAATTTGTGAAAATAACTGCGATATCACCGTAGAATTGAAAATGTCAAATGTCGATTTTATTTTCTCTAACTTTCGGAAACGGGCGGTTTCCGTTAGCACCTTAATTCTATACGCATTTTTCTTCCATGTCGCGCTGGATGCAGTTACTACTCTTTTATGGACGCTATATTTGATTTTTACGAAATTACATAGAGGAATGACATAGAAAAAATAATGACGAGTCACACTATACTTTTTACGAAAAATGTCAAAAATGGCCCTCTAAAATAGTTAGCAACGAAGGACGATACGAAATAAATAACGTAGTCTTAACACTCACACTTTTATAGGGACAAGGAGAAACGCAAAACAGTGGGAGATTGAGAAGGGATTTCATTTCAACTGATGGAGACATCTAACGGAAGAATTTTACAACAAATACTACAGGATTTTTACAAATGAAATTTTGACGTTACGACTTTTTAATTTTCTCTCACGGTGGAGACCTAGAATGGGTCGACCCCATCTGGCGGCGAAACCGACGGCGGACGGCGGTCTCGACCTAACCTAATCGCTGGTGGTGATGGAATTTTGGAAGGGCGGTGGAGACCTAAAGAGGATCCAGGATCCAAAATTTAGTCGAAATCGGATTGTAAATAAGGGAGATATAGCGTTTTAAAGTTTTGCCACTAGCGCCACCTAGCGGCGAAACCTTTAAACCGAGATATCTCGAGAACGGAGCGTCGTAGACATGTATTCATGGGTGTCGTAGAAAAGGGCACAACCTAACCTAACTGGTGTTGGTAGTCGAATTTGAAATTTTGACATTTTTAAAAATAACTGAGATGTAACCGAAGAACTGAAAATATCAAATGGCGCTTTTATTTTTTATAGCTTAAACTGTCGGAAATGGACGCTAGATGCAGTTACTACTTTTTATGGACGCCGTTTAGGATCTTTAGGGAATGACTTAGAGAACAAAAAAATAATGATGCGCCACATTATACTTTTACATAATTTTTTACGAAAAATGCCAAAATCAAATATTTTACATTTATTTCTCAACGGAACATCCACGGGTGACCAGAATTTGCTGAACCAACATGATGTTTTCAGGAAATAAGTGACACAGCCTTTAAAAGCGCAAATTTTCGGAGTTAGAGATTCTGAATGCCTTATTGCATTCGCATATAAAGACTCATTGCTGATGCCAGAATTCTGACTGTTCATAAAGTTAGCAACGTCACTTTATAACCGACATGCGTATAATCAAAGCGGCTCTCTAAACACTTTTATAGGGACAAGGCGAAGCGCAAAACAGTGAAAGATTGAGAAGGGATTTCATTTCAACTGATGGAGACATCTAACGGAGGAATTTTACAAGACATACTACAGGATGTTTAAAAATGAAATTTTGATGTTACGACTGTTTAATTTTCTCTCACAGTGGAGACCTAGAAGGGGTCGGGGCCATCTGGCGGGGAAACCTTTAAACCGACGGCGAGCGGCGGTCTCGACCTAACCTAATCTGTGGTGTTGATGAAACTTTAGAAAGGCGGCGGAGACTAAAAGAGGATCCAGAATTTTGTCGAGATCGGGTAGTAAATAAGCGAGATATAGCGTTTTAAAGTTTTACTACTAGCGCCACCTAGCGACGAAAAATTTAAACCGAGATATCTGGAGAACGGAGCGTCGTAGACACCTGTTCATGGGTGTCGTAGGAAAGATCTCAACCTAACCTAACCGGTGTTGCTAGTCGAATTTTCGAACGGAACCTGGAAGTAGTCGGACCGACTTCGAGAATCCAGAATTTTGGAAGTTTCATAATTTTCAACACTTGTAGGCATTTTGACTTTTTTTTAAATGTAACCCAGAATCATTTCGCCATTTTACGTTTAAAAAAAATTGTTGGAAATGTGTACAGGGTGTTTCAAATTCGTGCCTCTTCATTAGGAAGTTTTTAAAAAAACTTACCCTAAAGAACCTGTAGACCTTTAGAGCCTTTATGAATAAGTATTTGTGAACCGCCAAGGTCTAACTCTTTAAAGTTATTTATTGATCTTGAGGGGTGTATAACAGTTCTAAAGAACTCCAAGGCTTAATAACAGATGTCCTCAACACGCCATTTAAGAGACGTTCTTAAGGAGATTCAGTATCTTCAAAACCTTCAAAAGTTAGCTTTTATTCACCCTTTCATATTTACATCGTTACAGGTTAATAAGTGTATTTAAAGGTCTTTCAAGATTTATGGGTCGTGAAGAGTTTGTCAGAGTCTCCAAAAGCCTCCAACCAAAACGTTTTCTGAACCTTGAGAGTACATATAGTCTTCTAGTTCTAAAGGTTTTATTTGTAAAGTATTTAGAACGCAGTAAACGCCTTAAAGAGCTTATAACAATCGTACAAAATCTCTTTAAAATCTCCTCAAACTCTTCAAAATCTCCCCAAAATCTCTTGTCTCTTCCAAATCTCTTCAAACTCTCTTTAAAATCTCTTTAAAATTTATAAATCTGTGAGGATTTTTAAATGTGTGAAAGAATTCTAAAGACCCTTAG